CTTATTCAATTTCAGTCTAGCAAATGTCAACTCCCTTGTCCTTGAGGCTTCTATTTGTCTTTGCAAAGTAGTTATCTGATTTAAGAGATGTTGTATTTGTGCCTCCATTTGGGATTGCCATATCTCCCATGTTGTAATTTTTCTATTGGACTCTACTATTATAATGCCTTCTTACCTTCTGGTTGACTTTTTAAGAATAGCTGGTAGTAGCTTCAATATAGTATCCAATGTGACCACAATAATTGACTTTGGACTAAATGATGACTAATGACATACTACCAAAAGAAAACTGTCTAATTTTTGCTTTGATACCAATGAAACATGATTGGTTTATCTCAAGTATCCAAGATCCTTTTAATCGTCTTTGTCAATTGACTATTAAAGCAACTTTACTTGACTATAGTATGTTCAGATATTAATACTCCTATGCTTACATAAGTTTTTTTTGATATTGTCTTTCGTCACTATGGATTACCTTGCGTCATCATTTTAGATTGGGATCCATGCTTCATGGAAAGTTTTTGGCAAGCTTTATTTAAGCTATTAAGCACATGACTTGCCATATTTACAACCTTCCATCTCCAAACAAATGGACAAACAAAGCGTGTAAATTGGACCTTAGATAATATGATGTAAATATTTGTGGTGGTTCATCATAATGATTGGGATGAATACTTGATGCCCTTGGAGTTAGCTTATAATGATAGTATTCAAGCAAGTACCGATCATTCACCATTTTTTGTTAACACTAATGAACATCTGAGTATGCTACCAACTCTTTATCATTCTATTGATACCAACAACCTGACAATGGAGGAATTTATACAATAGCTTACAACAACCTTATAAGAAGTACGACATTGCCTCTTTACCATACAAAATCAACAAAAGCAATATGCAGATAACCACCGGTAACACAAGTCCTTCCGAAAGGGTGATGAGGTGTTATTCTCCAATGCCAACTTTCTACTTGCTACATCAATTCAAATCAATAAACTAGCATCTTGGTGGCTTGGATCTTTCCACATTTTTGCAATGATTTTTGATGTCACATATTACTTTGAATTTTTACCACATAGTCAGGTCTACCTAGTCTTCCATTTTTTTGCAACTAAAAGATTTTCATACCAAGCGAAAGCGCTTTCTAGATTGATATTAACCACCACCACCACCAATTATAGTTGATGATCAACAAGAATATAAAGTAGATAACTTTTTGAAGCATTGCTATCTTTGCCATAGTAGTGGACATCTACAACTTCAATACAAAGTTCTTAGGAAAGATTATCCGATCTATAATGCAATGTAGGAACATGTACAAAACTTCACTCATTGCTAAGAAATAATTTAGAAATACCATGAGGAGAAAAACAAAGATGTTCCACATTAGTAGAAGAAGATTAATTGTAATAAGGTATAGATAAGACATTTGTACATAGAAATAGATAGTTAGAACCATGGAAGTTTTTAGTATTAGGATTAAGCTAGTAGACCAGATTGGATCCACCGTAAAATATTTTAGAAAGAATTTAGGGCAATTATTTAGGTAGATCCTATTATAGAATCTTCTAAAAAAGACTTAGGATGGTTATCTAAATAGGATCCACCATAGAAATTTTTAGAAGGAATTTAAGACAATTATTTAAGTAGAGTCAATCATCTAAGAATATTTTAGAAAGTCCAAGGTGGTAGAACAAAGTATAAATATGACTGGCCAGGGTTTTTTGGGGCATCTAGTCAGATATGATTTCGGACCCTTCTTTTTAATACAATTAGATTTTTATATCTTTATATTTTGTTCTATTCTAATTCTAATTATTTAGTTTTATCTTTCGTCTCCCATTCTGTTTAGTTCTATTCAATTTTATTCTGATCTAATTTTTCCTCTCTTATAATAAGGTTTTATGTTGTTGTGGATTAGAAGGATCTTTGACACCTAAGATAGATTAGTTTTGTTTTAATCATCATATAAACTCTATAGATACTAGTAAAACAAGAGCCTTTGTTAATTATTATGATACAAATTGATATATGGACTCACTAGCTATAAATTATGTCATCAAATAAAGATAAAATATAATACTATTAAATTCAAATCTATAAAATAGAATGTTATTATAATTGACATTATATGTCATAGAATTGGAGCTATTAGTTGTATAAACATATCAACTTTATCCAAGAAAATAAACCTTAATAAAGTTCTCTATGTACCAACATAAAGAAAAAGCCTCATATTAGTAGAATCAATAACTTATAATTGATACATTATTATCTTTACAAAATTAAAATGCCTAATTATAGATAATAATATAAATAAAAAATTTCTAATAGTTGATGATAGGGATTTGAAAAATAGAATAAATATGTTAAATAAATAGATTTAAAAATATATAAATAGAATTATCTTAAAAAAATATTATAGGAATAGTATATTTCAACTATTAATATAAATAATTTAAGCTTCACCAACTTATTATGCCAATATTGATAATATAAATGTGTAGCATTTTAGATTTGGTCACTTATACTATAAAGGATTATAACATCGATCAATAAAAATAGAATATGTAGATTATATTTATTTAGAATAAAAAAAAAAGATTTGACCAACATGCTTAGTAGGATCACAATCTAGAGAGCAATTTCTACAATTATCAAAAAATTAAGCTATCAAGTCACTTAAATTCATATATTTTGATTTAATTGGATCAATTTGTATATCTTTATTAAGCAAATGAAGATTCTTTGGTGTATTTATAAACAAATATTTCCAAAAAAATTATATAAATTTTGTAAAAAAATATAATTTTTTTAGAAATTTTGAAAATTCAAAAGAAGAGTAAAAAATGAGATTGGTCAAGAGATTACCTCATTACAAACAAATAGAAGAGGAGGAGATCTTTTCCAACTTTTTTTAGATTTCTACACATTAAATGGAATTAGAAGGTAATTAATACATGCATATATTTTACAAAAAAAATTGGATATCAGAAGAAAAAAGAAAGATATATATATATATATATATATATATATATTTATATTAGATAGACCTAGATTTATAAAAAATACAAGCAACTATGTTAGCTTTTTATGAATAAAAATTATCAATACAGCCAATATACTTATAAATTTAAGTCCCAATAGAGCTAATTAAGAAATCACCCTAGATCAAAAGTGCTACAAATAAAAACTATATATAGATCACATGAGGATTTTTGAAGCACTTTGCTATCTTTATGTGTCAAAAGAAAAATGATCAAAATTAAAAAGTAAGATTATTGAATATTTCTTTTAAAGATATGATGAAAAAATAAAAATATACTAAGTTTATGAATCTACACAAGATAAATTTATCTAAGAAGGGACATAGTATTTGACAAAAAAATAAATTGAATATGATTTGATCAAAAAATTTAACTTATTTCAAGATGATCTAATTACTTTTTAAAATTATAATTCTAAAAAAATATGAACTTTTTTTAAGTTCATCAACCAAAAAGCTTGATTTCTTTTAATCTATATCTTGTATTCATTTAAATCATGAACACCAATAATCTAGTTCACTTTTAAGAATTCTAAAAGATATTCATTTCAATTGACTCAAAATTCAAGAAAATTTAAATTTACAATATCAAGAATTATTAAAGCCTTTTCAATTGGAAGTAAGACAAAATCTATAAGAAAAAAGGCAACCAAAAATTAGATTCATAAATCATTCTTTATTTTTTGCAAAAAATAATAAATCCAATACCAAATTTATAATTGAAGATTGAAACTTTTACGAGGTTATAAATCATTTTAGATGGTATGCACCTATAAACAAAGAAATAGAATCATTATTGGAGAATAACATATAGCAGATAGTTGATAAAATACATGCATGTATAAAACTTATCAATGCCATGTGAATAGTTAAAGCTAAATATAATAAACTAGATAAATAAAAAAAACTCAAAGCTATGTTAGTGGCAAAAAATAATAGATATGACTGATCTTAGGGATGTAAAATATTATTTGGGAGTTGAACTAAAGCATACTTCTCATAGTATCTATTTTAATTAAAGAATTTATATAACAAAACCATTTGATAGATTTGAAGTGAGAAATTGTTTTCTACTCAAGGTACTAATGAATCCTTGCATAAAATTGTCTAAACACTTTAGAACAACACTTGTAGACATAAAAACTTATCAGAGCCTTGTTAGAGGATTATTTTATCCTACCATAGCAAATAAGATATTCAATATATTAATGGATGTACTTCTTGTTACCTAACTAATGTTCCAGAAGAACATCTTATTGCAGCTAAAAACATATTAAGATACCTAAAAGAAACCTTTGATTATGACATTTACAATTTAGAAGAATTACTTATCTTCACAAATGCAAATTAGAATAGAGATGTAGATTCTAAACAATCAACTTTTGATATTCTATACAAATTTGGTACATCCCTTGTAGCTTGGTCAAAAAAATTACATCTTGGTCAAACAAATTACGAACCACATTAGCCTTATCATCTACAAAAGGGGAATACAAAGTTTTATATGAAGCAGCCAAAAACATCACATATATATGCAGGCTATATCAAGAACTAGGACTGAGCTAAGGAAACCCTACCTTAATCTTCAGTGACAATATCAGCAGCATTAAGTTAGTAAAAAAATCCTGTCATGCATGCTCAAACAAAACACATGGACATGCACAGCCACTACATTTGTGAAAAATATTAGAATGGAACCATTCAAGTAACATATGTACCCTCACTTGCACGACAGGCAAATGTACTCACAAAACCCTTGTCACCACAAGCTTTCATTCAAAACAGACACACAGGAGGTATGCGACTAATACCAGTTTGACTGGCTATCGTTAAACTGAAAGAAATCAATTAACAGAAATTGAATTGGATATAATATGATGAAAGAGTTTTTTGGTGTCGAAAAATTGCAAAATATCAAACTGAAATTACAAAATGATACTGCGTGGATACTAGCATGTATCAACATCACCACCGGCAAGGAGTTCCAATGCTAGCAGCCAACGAACCCCGCTTGGATAATCCATCCTACCCCCCGCTCTCACAACCGGACCTGTTGTGTCCGATCACTGCTACACTTCCCACTCGAATTACTCCCCACCCCAACTTCACTACACAACTCCACTCACAAAGGGCACTCCACCACGGCTCTACTCTGCCACGTTACTTTCCTCGTGCACCCCACCCGTATGCACATGCCGTCGATGCGCTCCTCCCCGTGCTCACAGTGCAGGAGACGCTGCTTTACTCAACGCGCCTGCGGTTGCCATCCGTAGTACCGATCACTAAATAAATACATAGAACTGGTGCGCGTTGAGGCTCTGATGACTGAGCTCCGGTTGAGTCATGTCGCAGGTTCACGGACCCGAGATGAAAACATCCGCGGGGTATCAGGAGGCGAGAGGCGGCATGTCTTGATCGGGGTGGACATGATCCATGACCCTGCTATTCTGATTCTCGATGAGCCCACTTCGGGGCTGGACTCCACCGACTCGCTTGCCTGACCGCAGCCTCCTGAATCTCATGCCAGCGACGGGGAGATGCTTCCGAAGCTCCTACTCATCCACCGCACGCCGCGCTGCACAATATATCGTATCCAGGGATCGACCGGTCGCACGCCAGTCAGTCACAAGACTCTGCTCGAATCGGTTTCACAGGTATCTGAAGACCCCGAGCTTGATCAACTCCAACAAGCTCAGCTTTGCCACCACTAGCTTCTTCTCGCCCTCGCCCGCCAGCAGCTCCAGCACCTTGTCCCTCTTGTTTTCCACCACCTCCAGCGCCAAGCGGTACTTGCCGTTCAGCAGACTGGCCACCACCGATACCACCACGATCAGAACCTTCACTTGCAGCCCTGATACATTCGTGATTCACAATCAGAACCAAGCACAGAATGCAAGAAAGTAAATTGAGAGAAATGAAATGAGAGAAGGCAGGATTTGTGGGGGAGTGTTGTAACATCGTCAACGAGATTTGTCGACCTGATAAAGAATCACATTCATTCCTAAGACCTACATGTACATTCGAGAGTAATTGTACTCGCGAGATCAAAGATCTCCTCTTTTGTTTGCACTAGATCATGGGTACATGAATGATCTGTTCACAGCAATTCAAGCATATCTAGTTCAATTTTAACTAAGCATCTGGGACAGACTCACACGGGGATTAAGAGTGTTGGTTGCCTGATGCTGTGCTGATTGTAATCGATAAATGGATATATTTAATTTTCTGGCAGAGGGTTAGATGACTAGAATCTAACAGGGACTACAAACATCAACCAGATTCGTGCTCTGCCTTATTCGAACCGTACCTTGGAACCAGTGACTCTCAGATATGATTGAAAAATATGCAACGTTGCTTACGCTGTATATTTTTCAATCATATCGACATATTTGACCTAACTGTCCAGTTGAAGTGAGTTCCTATATCTCCACAACCCAAGCAACACGGGTGCTGAGGTTAAGGATTTGGCGTTCAATCATTCGGTGTGACATTGCGATCTATATACCATTTTCAGATTCTTCAGTAAATGATCCAAAAGGAATGCCTTTTCTTGACAGTTGACTGGGAAATCCCAATTGCGACAACTCCACATCTTCATGGTTTTAGGCGCGATATTTGCATCAACAATGTTTAGATAGTCGTAATTAGTGACTTATTCAACTCTCACCTATTCTCAGGTCAATTGAATGGTTTCAACGTGGATCTTTATGCTTGAGAAGCTGGACTGTTATTTAATCTATGGTTCTTCTGTTTGCTACGCAACGGCATTGAGAAAGTCAAGTTACAGAAATAACGTCATTATTGAAATTGCTATCTGTAGATTCTAGCTGACATTGACTCTCTTAAACTTCAATTTGCTCTTACGGGGGAGTAGGAAAGGGAGACAGAGACTTATGTTTAGAATTGATAAAATTATGCTGAAGTAAACCCAAACCGATCTTGCCGTTCTATACATCAGATCGTCCAGATTCTGAAGTAGATGTTTCATTCATCATTACACCTGGGCAAACTATAATCTTTATTTTTGATATTATTTTATAATTTTTATATTTATTTTGATATTGAACTAATTTTACTCACACATTATATTAAATAATTATAATAAATATTTAATTTATTTATATTTTAGCTTTTGAATGACTATATGTCAAGGACAAGAATTCGATGAAAAAATAATTCAGACAAGTGAGCCTTCACTCAAAGAAAGATATAAATAAATAAGTATGTATATTGAAAGAGAAATTGGAAAGGCTATTGCCAAAAGACAAGAAAACTAGAGACCCTTGAAATTAGATTGGAAGCAAGAAAGGAATTGACAAGAGTGAAGAGGGCTTCACTCTTGTCTCTATATATACTATCTAACTAGGGGCTACGTGGCGACGTTCTATAGGACCTCTAATATGTGTTGACTTTGTAGGACATATGCCTTGACTTACAAGGTAAGTTTTTTTACGTGTGGGCTACATAGTTAGCTTGATCTTCAAGCTAACAACATGTGTAGCATGTGGCCAACTTGTTGACCACGTTTCTAATCCAAAAAGTCAATTAAAGACACCTATGAAGTCAAAGCAACATCTATGAAGCTTCTAGGAAGCTTTCATATTAAATACTATAGAATTAACTTACTCTTACCTATTTGTATATATAATTACTAGCTTACATGAATATGTCCGTGACATTACCTCCCCTTCTAGGGACAAGTTCCACGAGAAGCGGTCATCATATGTTGAAGAAATCTATGATGTGACAAATTATATTCGCCACATACTCTGATCTTTGTTCTCTTCGAAGATGATTGATAGGGCCTCTCAACCATCGGTAGTGTCCCATACCAAGGCGGGAAGACCACCCAGTTATTTGATCATCGTTGAGGCCTTCATAACTTCCTTCGAATAAAATATTTGGAACACTATCAAGAGTTGTTCCTACCTCTACCAAAATCACCAAACATCGGGAGTCCCTTCCCAAATCGTGATACCAAACGTATAGTATCTCGCCATCTATTTGAAGAAGAACATGTCATTCTTGAAGATCTTCATCTCGATAGCGTCATCTTGAAGGTTGTGACAATCATAATGTCTCATCCGATAGGTCAGCAAATGAAGGCTCTTGAGTCGAATCCACTGGTTGTTGGTTCTCCATCTCTTGAGCGTCACAACTACAAAAAAGCTATGAACAAAGATTGAAAGTAGAATGTTATCTTGCCTAGATGTTGTTTCTTTTATAAAAAAGGTTTTCATCTTGATATTGATGGATGTCTTCGATGAAAAGCCTCCACTGCCTTTGCTGCATTTGCAAGATTCTTTATTGGCTCCCATGTGCGTTCACTAATATCATATCCGTGCCAATGGACAAGATATTCTAATTTATTTCGATGCTGCCTTGAATCTAAGACTTCTTTTACTTCAAGCTCTTCATTATTGTCCACTTCTACATGAGGAGGTAGAACTTGTCATCTTCTTGGTATGTCCACTATCTTGTATGGTTCAAGAAGAGACACGTGGAATACTGGATGGATTTTCATTGACTCTGGTAGATGTAAACAATATGCAACTGGATTCATTTGTGCAGAAATAGAAAATGGTCCAAGCCTTTGATAGTCCAATTTATCACAAGGACGAGTGGTCTTGATATTACGATGAAGTAGCCATACCTTATCACCCAAGAGGAATGGTGGTTGTTCCTTTCGATAGACATCTGCATTGACCTTTTGTTGTTCTTGAGCCTCTTTTAACTGCACCTTCATCGTTGCATGTAGCTCTGATTAATGAATTGCCAAATCTTTCGCAGCAGGATTATCAACTTTTGAAAAGTCAAAAGTATCAAATTATAGATGATAACCATAATTAGTAAAGAAAGGTGTTTGTTTTGTAGAAGAATGTACCTTGTTATTGTAAGCAAACTCTACCAATGGCAAAAGAGTTGTCCAATCATCTTGTTGGTAGTTAATGATACATCTTAAATATTGCTCTAAAACTTGATTAACACGCTCCATTTGTCTATCAGTTTGAGGATGGAATGCCAAAGATGGTTTTATATCCACTTTAAGAATCTTGAAAAGAGTCCGCCAAAATCTTGATACAAATTGAGTTCCCTTATCTGATATAATATCCTTGAGTAATCCATGATAGTGACAGATATTGTCAAGAAAGAGCTTAGTTTTTTCTTCACTTATGATATATTTTTTACATGGTACAAAATAAACCATCTTGGTAAAATGATCTACTATCACAAATATAGAGTCATCAGAACTTGAGATTGGAAGATCCGTGATGAAGTCCATAGAAACAGAAGACCATGGTTGTTCTGGAATGGATAATGGCTGAAGAAGTCCAAAAGGTTGATGATGAGGAGTTTTTGATCTTGAGCAAACATCACATGATTGTACAAAATCTTTGACTACCTTCTACATTTGAGGCCACCAAAAATCCTGAGATATCAGCTCCAAAGTCTTATTATATCCAAAATGTCTTACTGTTGGGAAGTCGTGACGAGCTTGAAGAATACATAAACGTGCTTCTCCTTCTGGAACATATAGGCATCCTTCGAAATAGAGTAGGTTATTCTTGAATTCAAATTTAGACAGGTCATGAGATTTAGAAGAATTATTCTTCATATCATGAATAAGAAGCTCTGAAGACATACTTAACTGGACTTGCTTAAAAAAAGTTAAATCAACAGTCAATGTTGATTTTATTGCTCGAAGATGAAATTGCTCCGGCTTCAAGAGAACCATTCTTTGTTGCTCAAAAGCTGCATTTCCTTCTTTTGGTACAAGATAAGAACGTCTAGACAAGGCATTGGACAAACCTTGTTGTTTTTTTGGCCGATAAGTGATGATGAACTCGAATCTTGATAAAGACATGCTCCAACGAGCTTAACGACGATATAATACGCGTGCTGACATAAAATACTCGAGGTTCTTGTGATCCATATACACGGTGATTGGATTCAAAGCGCCTTCTAGATAATGATGCCATTCTTGAAAAGAATCCACAATTACAAGAAGTTCTTTGTCATGGATCTCATAATTGATTTCTACTGCTGAGAATTTTCTTGAATGAAAGGCTATTGGATGAAGTTTGTCATTTGTTCCCATTTGTGATAAAACCACATCCAAAGCAAAGTCTGATGCATCTGTTTCCATAACGAATGCTTTGGAAAAATCAACACAATACAAGATTGGTGTAGAAATAAACATTTTCTTCAAAGATTCAAAAGCAACTTCTGCTTCTTGATTCTATTGGAGTTTGTCTTTACAAGTCAAACGTATAAGTGGAGCTGCAACTCGAGAGAAGTCCTTGATGAAGATCTGATAGTAGTTGGCAAATCTCAAAAAACATTGGACATCTCTTACCGTTTTTGGGATCTTCCAATCTATAATAGTTTGAACTTTCTTAGGATCCATCATAAGTCCATCATTTGAAATGATGTAACCTAAGAAATCGACTTGAGTAGTGTGGAATACACACTTTTCTATCTTGGCATAGAGTCATGCATCTCTTAATTTTTGTAACACATGATGAACATGAAGATCATGTTCTTCTGGATTCTTAGAATAGATCAAGATGTCGTCTAGATAATAGACCACAAAATCATCCAAAAACTCTCAAAAAACATCATTCATTAAATATTCAAAAGCTATTGGTGCATTCGTAAGTCCAGAAGGCATGACGTTGTATTCAAAATGTCCATACCTAGTTTGAAACGCAGTCTTCCATTCATCTCCTTCTTTGATACGTACTAGATTGTATGCTCCCCGGAGATCTATTTTTGTATAGATCTTAGATTGATTCAGCTGATCAAGAAGTCCAGATATTAAAGGTAGTGGGTACGTGTTCTTGATGATAATCTTGTTGAGTCCTCAATAATCAACACACATCTGTAATGATCCATCTTTTTTCTTCACAAATAGAATTGGAGCTCTTGCCCCAGATTTAGAATGGTGTATGAAATTCTTGGCTAGATTTTCTTCAATATACTCCTTGAGTTCAGTCAACTCATTTTGTGATAAACTGTAGATTGGTCTGAAAGGCGGTTGTGCTCCTTCTTGAAGGTCAATTGAGCAATCATAAGGACAATGTTTTGAGAGTGTATGCGCATTCTTTTTTTTGAATACATCTTAAAATTCTTGATATTGGCTTGGAATGCCACTTGAAGTCTTTCCACCAGTAGAAACAGGTGTGGCATAAATAATATATGGTGATTCTTTCATAGCAGCATACAAGAAAGTTTTTGCACCTATAAATATGGGTTTAATTGAACTAGACTTATGACTCTCTACTTGATTAACTACACTGTTAGTTATACTTTTAAAAAAAGTAAGATTTCGAGAAGTCCAATCTATTTGATGATTGTATTTTTTTAACCATGATAAACCTAAAATGATTGGATTAGAGGGAGATCTAATGATATTAAATACTACAAAGCTTTTATGACCATTAATTATTACTTCTATAGGACGGGTTTTGTGAGTAATATCTCCAGAAGACAATGGACGACCATCTATGACTTCTACATGAACATGTTTAGTTTTTTTACTAAAGATATGCTATGTCTTTTGATAAATTCTTCATCTAAGAAACATGTCGAGGCTCCTAAATTTTAGAAGGCAGAGGCTTTGTAATATTTAGGTCCTAAAATAACATTTAATGTAAAACAAAGAGAGGGCTCTGAGGAGAAAATAGGACCTTTACTAGATGTTGTGCAAGGTTCCAACCGCACGGTCCCTATTGTAACTGGACAAACTCGTTTTCTGACATATTGTCTTCTTTGACAGCCATACTCCTCATTTTATGAATGCATCATTTCTTTGGACAATATTGAGTAGTGTACTTTGGTTCTCCACAATATAAACATAATCCTTCTTGACAACGACGAGTCTTTTCTTGCTCAGTAAGAGGTTTGAAATATATTGCATCAATTTGCATATCCTCTACTTCTGAATGTATGTGTTGAAGAGGTGTTGGTGTTGCCATTGATTTATAGTAACATTGAGGTCTACTTGTACAGTTTTCAGATCAAAATTCAAAAAGGCGATTGTCGCACTTCACAGCAAAGTCAATTGCTTGACTCAATGTTTGAGGATCAAGTAAGTTGAGCATTAATTTTTTTACATCATATTATAATCCGCAGAGAAATTGGCTAATAAGTGCGACATCATTCCACTTGATATCAATTGCAAGTTATCGAAATTGTGAAGCATACAACATTACTGATCGATTGCCTTGTCATAAAATATGGATCTTATTGGTTGCAACATGAATTGCATCATGTTTTCCATACATGGATCGAAACTTTGCTAGAAAAGCCTCTAAATTATCCAATATTGGATCTCGTCGTTCAAGAAAAGATGAAAACTACGATAGTGCTGAACCTGAAAGAAGCGTACTAATGAATCTATCTTGCGATCCTAGAGTTGGATAGCTTTGGGGTTGAAGTTCAATCAGAAGTTGCACTTGATTGATAAATCCTCAAAACTTGGATCTGGTGCCATCAAACTTCTCAAGTAGGGTAATTCTTGGTTCTCTAATATTAGAAGGGCGTTCCACCATAGGAGAAAGGACATGGTTTGGTACAGATGTTGAAGCAGCTCCAACCATTTCTATATCTTCACTTCCTGCCAATCTTGTTGCTCCTTGTGGTGGTAAATTGAGTTGATGCATCGCAAGCATTAACTCTCTCAATTGCTCTTGCATTTGTGCCATTGCACTCTTCATTTCAACAAGTTTTGCCATGATAACACTTAGAAAAGAGAAGATGTCTAATATCGCTCAAGGCAAATAGAAGAGAGGACTTGAGAACAAAGAAAATACTAAGGACAATTTCAGTTTAGAAGAGGGTAATTCGTAACTTTTAATATGCTTATATCTTATCAAGAAAAAGGGGTAATCCACTCTTAATCAAGATTAGACAAAACTCTGATATTGTAGGTGTACTCTTGTCAATCTGTCAAAGAGAAGAACTCAATGAAAAAATAATTCAGACAAGTGAGCCTTCACTCAAAGAAAGATATAAATAAACAAGTATGTATATTGAAAGAGAAAGTGGAATGGCTATTACCAAAAGACAAGAAAACTAGAGACCCTTGAAATTAGACTGGAAGCAAGAAAGGAATTGACAAGAGTGAAGAGGGCCTTACTCTTGTCTCTATATATACTATCTAACTAGGGGCTACCTGGCGATGTTGTATAGGACCTCGAATATGTGTTGACTTTGTAGGACACATGCTTTGACTTACAAGGCAAGTCTTTCTATGTGTGGGCCACATAGTTAGCTTGATCTTCAAGCTAACAACATGTGTGGCATGTGGCCAACTTATTGACTACGTTTCTAATCCAAAAAGTCAATTAAAGACACCTATGAAGTCAAAGTAGCATCTATGAAGCTTCTAGAAAGCTTCTATATTAAATACTATAAAATTAACTTACCTATTTGTATATGTATTTACTAGCTTACATGAGTATGTCCGTGACACTATATCTTAAACAAAAAAATAATATTTTTTTATTTATTCATTTAAAATTTTAAATTATTATAATTTCTACTCTTTTTATTATATATATAGACATACATGAATAATTTTATTTTTTAGATTTTTCTTTAAAAAATAAAAAATTTAAAAGAAATTTATAATCTAAAAGTAGTTAGTTGTTTTTACTAGAGCTTCTAACTTTGCCATGATTAGAAGAAAGTCTTTGGAAAAGTTATAAAACTAAAGTATTTAAAATACTATATTGTTTAAGGGAATTGTTAAATCAACCCGCCCATCATTATACATTTCTCATCCTTTGTACACAAATTCTTAAACTCAATCATTTTTGAACAGTAAATGGGTCAATTTAGCACATAAGCATGTAGATTTATCTTTATTCATAGAAATTTTTAGACCCACTCATCATTATACAATCCCTACCCTCAATACACAAATTCTTGAACTCAATAATTCTTTTAACAAATGGATTGGTTTAGCAAATGGGTGGGTGGATTTAACAGTTCCCCTGTTTTATCGTAAGAAAAAGTTTGTAGATTATTATTTTAGTTTATTTCAATTTTTTTGTAATATAGATTAAAATATTTATAGAAATTATATATACATATATATATACATATATATATATACATATATATATATACATATATATATATATATATATATATACATACATAAAAAATAAAAATAAAAAAATAAAAAAATAAGATAGATAAATAAATCAATTCCTATCCTATTAGAAAGTTTTTTACTCATTCCAATTAAAAAGCATACTTTTTAGATGTCAAAATATTAGAATTCACAAGTTGAAACCAAATAAATTATGCCTTGAAGGACATTGATATCAATGCCAAAATTAACTTTAATAGAAAAGTCATAAATTTAACAAAACAGTCCATTTTATAATCTTCAAGTGATTCTTACTCTATTCTAACAACTTTCATCTACATTACTATTTTATAACTCTTTGCTAAGTTCAGATTTTTAAATATATATATAATTAAAGACACATATTTGATTTTTTAACTCATTTAATTTTAAGATCTTACTATTTTAAATACCTAAAATCTACCTATCTATGCTACATAGAATCTTTGATGGCACAAATTAAAAATAAAACGAACCAAAATTTTGCCTTTGCGTGTTATTAGAATATATCAATTAAAAATAGTGCAGGTTGCGTATTTCAACAGCTCTTCTCCAAGTAAACAATTACACAGGGGCGAGGAATTCCCATCGGAAGCTACGAAATTTCATTTCAAAGTTTGCTACCCTGCGGTGAACTTGTCTCTCGGGACTATTGTTCATGGAAGTGTATGTTTCTGCATTGAACACGATGCTTTTGGCTGTGAAGGCTGAGGAGAACAGACATGATATTGGGAAGATGTTGACGCATCAATGCACAAATGTTATCAGAAACGTAGGCAACAGTAGAGATTGATTGTACAAAATGTGGAACGACTTTGCTGTGTCATTCTTTGCGTTTCATGAACAGCGACTGGATCAAGTCCGGCACAATTTACAGAAGAAATTATTTATAATCTCACCTTCACACTCCACGTACTCTACTATAGCAAACCTAATATAAGCGTCCAAATATCCTTGCTACGGTACCGGCGCCGGTAGCCTCATACCACAACAGCCATGCACTTGCAAACGATGCAAGTGCATATACAGTGCAAGCTGGAGCATTCGTATAAGAACTAGAAATGTGTAGTGGTAATGGGAAAAACTTCGCATCGGCATCTATGTCCGAGGCAAGGATCGAATCTAGTTTGTTTCAGTGTGAGTGCCAGTGGCTCCGGTGGTGGCATCGTGTGCAGGATCAGCCGGTGACTTGGGGCCGTATCCAAACAATCCCGTGAGCTTGCCAAAAATTCCGGGCTGAGCTTCGTTGTGAGCAGCTCCAGTTGGCGTGGAAGAAGTGCTGGAAGTCTGCGTGGCACTGGAAACAGTGTCCGTTACCTTCGCCGGCAAGGCACCAAGTGATTCTGTGATCTTCTCGCTGAGAGCCTTGTCGTCCTGATTGGGCGTGGTGGCATCAGCAGTGGTGTCCTTGGCCTTCCCGACGTAGTCCTTGGTAGTGTCGGTGGTGCCTTGGGCGTAGTCTGCTACGGTATTCTTGGCCCTTGTTCCGTAATCCTTTGCAGTGTCAACAGCGCTGCTGGTCGAGTCCTTAGTGGTGTCAGTGGCACCGCTGGCGTGATCCTTAATTGTGTCTACAGCACTGCCCGTCGAATCCTTAGCTGTTTCCGTGGCCGACGCTGCGTCGTCCTTCGCAGTGTCAGTCGTAGAGGACACATGATCGTTCGTGGTATCAACTGCATATCCCAGATAACCCTTCGCTTTATCCACCAAGGAGGGTCCCTCCGACGACTGGTGTAAGCCTAATGTGTCTGCAACGCTGTCTTTCGCCGCAGTAGCAGTGTTGGTAGCTTTCTCCGTGTAAGTTTCAGAGTCATTCGTGGCGTTGTTCAGCTCGGATGCTTTCGACCCTGCAGCGTCTTTAGCCTCGTATGCCGCATCTGTGGCACTTTGAGGACGCTCAGAAGTGGAATCCCCGGAGAAAGTTTCTTTCGTCTTATCAGCGACATCACTACCCTTCTCAGCTACTGTGTCCTTCGCATCTGTGGCGGCATCGTATCCTCGGTTCCCAATCCCCTCTGTTTTGTTGTTGACTTCTTCGACAGCCTCGGAGGACTTCTCCGTGACAGATTTGTCTTCGGGGTCCATAGGTTCGTCTTGGGTGAATCCCGAGGCACCGGCGGTGGCCGCTGCACCACCGAAAATAGTATTCTTTGCTCCCTCTGAAGCCTCTGAAGCTTTCTCAGTGATAGATGGCTCGTCGGTCTTCGACTCAGGTTCATAGTCAGGGGTCTCATCTAGACTCAATTTTCCGACGTCTGGTGTTTCAGGCTCTTTAGCGTCGGATTCCCCAAATTTGAAGGGTGTGCTTTGACTGGTTTCGAAGTCGCGAGATTCTGTCTGAGGGGCTGTGTATGGCGTCGTTTGAGGGGCATGGGAGGGTGAAGCAGATGGCGATGAAGAATCCTGCAATTGCAATAGTCAAAGAGAAAATTGTGAGGCTCGGATAATTCAGCGTTGTATTCAACGAAAATCCATCGCAAATTTAGTTAGAATTGTTTAAAAAAATTGCTTAGATATATCTGTTCCAAAACAAGATATAAATAGCGATATTGAATTCTTACATCACTGTTGCTGCTCATTTCCTCTCCTTCATCCTCGTTATCGACAGTGGTAGTACCATCGGGGTTGGTCTTCTTCTTACCAACCTTGTGCTTGATTTTCGAACCGGCTTTCTTGGTTTTGTCCTTCAGCCTTCCGAAAATCGATGGTTTCTTGTGACCACCGTCGTGGTAGCTCGGGCTGTTAGGATCGATGTGGTCAGCTGACTCGGCCGTAGTCAAGCCAGTCTGCTGTTCTCCTGAAAAACAACCAAATATCTAACAAGTTCATAACCGAAATCGTCGCAAAATCCTCTTCATCCCCCTCACTACTAACGATGAAATTTATTCAAGCCAAGACAACATCCAATACTCCGCAGAAGCTCATACCCCCTCAACAATGAAACAAAACAAAAAAAAATAAACTGAATAAACAAACCAACCTTCCATTCATCCATCCATCATGGCCATTCCCACATATACCATTAGGAAACTCACCCATCCCACGACTCAGCTACTCCACAACCCCCACACAAACAACCACACGTAATCCACGAAAGGAGTCTCACCAGAAGTAACCATGGGCTCGTATCCTTGCGACATCTTGCACGCCTAGCTAGTAGACTCCAACGCAGCGCCCAAGGAAAAACCTGCAACTACCGACAGGTCAGTCGATCGAGCTACACACACGCACACACTAACCAAACAGATGGCAGAGAAGCAGGAAAGGGGGGAACGAGCCCGTGTGTGTATGTGTCTAGAAGTGCGGTGACTAGATCGCAGTTCAAGACAGAAAGAGTATTGATTAGAGGTGCGGAGGAAGAGGAGCAGATCCAATTGACTGAAATCTAGATCTCTATTGAGAATGAGAGAGATTGAGTGCAGGGAGCTTATAAGCCAGTGCCGGGTGGCGAAACCAGGCCCTTGCGGATCATCGCTACGTGGTGGCACCAACTGGGTGGAAGCTCTACGGCGCGACGTGTGGCGCCGAGTACAGCGAAGCAGGCCCCCGCGACGACTGAGTCGGCGCTCGCGCCGCGACCGACCACGAGAGTGGGTAGGGCAGGGCCCGGGTCCCCTTTCCTTCTCTTCACTTGCTTCATCCTTTCTCACTCACACTCACTCTTACACTCACTCTCTTCCTCACTATATGTGTCTGTGTGTCTGTGTGTCTGTGTCTGTCGTCTGTTCTTTATCGTCGTGGGCATTATTCATGGGCGTGGGCCATGAGAACCTTTGGGGTGATGAATCTGGCGATATCATGCGGACTTTCGTGATTGTTGACGATCACTTGTGGATGGAGTTGCACAAGCGGTGGTACTGCGTGTGGGTTTGGGCTCTCGTTTGAGCAGCCCTTTCGAGTGTTGTTGTACATTATCTGGACTTGGATTCATTAGAGGATTTTTTTATTTTTTATTTTTTTGTAATTTGTTGTAAAGTTTATTGGAAGTGCTTATTGTGATGGATTTTTGCTAGGTGGATGAGTTATTGGTGTTTTGTGAGTTGGCTTTTTTTTTAGTTGAGCTGAGGTTGAGACTTGTTTGAAATGACAAACTCACATTTAATGGAGAAAATTTTATTATATATATATATATATATATATATATATATACATACATATTCATATATTTGACTAATATTTTTGTCTTAATGATTTTTGTGATTTTATTATTTGACCAACCAATAGCAAGGAAATTTTGTTTATTTTTATTTTTTAGGAATATTGGTTGCAAATATTCATATGAGATGAAAATTTGAATATTTTTTTTAAAATTGGTGTATTTATTCATCTTAGTAGATTAAAGATGATAAAGATAGAAAATTGTTAACATTACATCTCCAATTGACATTACTACATCCTATGTGATCTCCACACAACTTAAATTGACTAAAATGTGAACATTTCTATACTTAGGGCATGTTTGGTAGCTCAATATTTAATTCCAATATTGACCCAAAAATAGAATAAATTTTTAAATAATTTTACTTTTCAGCAAAAAATAAAACAATTCGCTACTTGTTTTTTCATAAAATATTCATTTTCTTTTTCTCAACCACCACTTTCTTTCTAAAGCAAAGAAAGGAAAAAATGTGCAAAAGAAAGAGGCATATTATTGGCTAGTTGTCTACCAGGAGGTCACTCAACGTGTAGCAAAATCGATTGAGGATGTAGTATTAATAATTCTCTAAAGATAATGAGCCTAGATGCAGATATTTTATCTCAAAAATAATATTGCATACATAATAAATAATAAAAAAGAATAAAAAATAGGCTTTCATCAATGCTTGAATTTGAGTCCAAGATCTTATTTGAGGTGAGCTTTTCACTTACCACATACTAAAGTCCTAACTCATGATTTATTTTTTAAAATTTTTAAATACAAATGTGAAGAGTAATACTATTCTTGTTTATTGCACTTTAAGCTTAAAGAGCAGTAAGCAAAAGCAACAACATATTTCATTTGGTTCAAATTTCACTTGATAGACAATATCATTTAGTAGATGGCATTTGTTCATAAGAAGCAAGTGTTAGGGTTTTTTGCCTAAGTGCCAACCAACAAATACATTTAAAATATTTTATATGTAGATAACAACTTTATAATCTATTTCTCTCTTCCAATCAATTGCCTTTGTACTAGAATTTGTTGCACACAAATACTCATAGTTAAAAATAAATAAATAAAAATAAGAAAAATCACAAAAGATAAAGTATAAATATTAGGTGATCCTATTTTTAAAAATATATCTATTTAATATAAAACACACAAAGCTATTTCTAATATATTTTTCTAAAAACCACATCTAAACTAAAGATTTTTAATACTACATAATTTATATTTTAAAAATTAAAATACATAAATTATTTTTTAAACAAGAAGTTAATAATTTTAGAAATAATAAATAATAATCTCTCCTCAAAATAAGAACCTTCCATTAAAATTAATTATTAATGACTATTTTGACTCATTAGTAGAAACCTAAGTATTCTTTAACTCTTGATAAAAATAATTTTTTTCTTTTTTATTAATATTAAAAATAAATAAATTATTTATACTTTTAATTATAACATAATATATATATTATTATATCAACTATATGCTACAATTATTATGAAATTATAATTAGTATTATAAAATTACTAGCCATCACATTATTCTTTAAGTTTGTTCTTTATGAATAATAATCATGGATTAAAATAAATAAATAAATAAATAGATAAAAAATAAAAAAACTTCAAAGAATTTGCAACAAAATATTTCTTTGACTTGTTGTGTTTTTCTCTACTATTTCATTTCAAAAGCTCTAATTAGTGTGAATTAAGATAGATTTATTCTTATTTAATATTGAATATTAATTGATAAAAATGAAGATAAAAACATAGATTCATTTTTCTCTCTTACTTTAATCTTCAACTTTAAAAAATAACAAACTTTTTCTTTCAACAATTAACCATTTGATTTCTAAATTGCTTGTCCTCTCCTTCCTACTTTCACATGTCTCTTCTTTATTATCAATCAAAAACAACTTTTCTCTTGTTGTCATTTTATTCTCATAATAAAATGACTTAATTACTCATTATATTCTATTAAATTTTGTAATATTCTTTCCACCTTTTCTAGCAACCTCTACTTAAGATAAAGCTATCTACTTTTCCTTTATTAGTAATCTTATCACCTAAAATTTTTTAAAATATTATACTGTGCTAAAACACTTTTCTTTTTTGAAAATGTATACAATTTGATTTCTATCTTTCGAATCCATATTTATCTTTTAAAAATATAATAAATTATGTATCTCGTATTTACTTATTATATGATTTCTTGTTAAATTTTTGCAAAATTAGGTAAGTTGTAAAATTTCTTGCTAAGTTGATTGATGTTAGAAGAAAAAGAATTATAACAAGATTTATGACAAGTATTGAGGCAATTAGCAGGTAACTTCAATTTTGCTTCCTATTTTAATATTTAAGATACTGAGCAACCTCATGCACTGGACATTAAATAACGTTGTCCCACACGCATTGCACCCACATTGTGTGAAAGTCATCGGTGTCCTTTCTGTTTTTCCCGATGCTAAGATAAGATTTAAGGACAAAAAGACAAATATTACACATAAGGTATCTTCATGCACACAGATAAAGACCACTCAGTCATTCATGAGATCCTCCGGCGTAATAACTCCTTATTCTCAACATCAAGGATTGCCATAATGAATGAAGAAAGACACTGCGCCACAATCCTGGAATTAAGATGGATTTTGTCGTATACATATGCCGGTTTTTAGAATTACAATATATTCTTGACAAAGCTACACCTCCTAAAGACATGAGCCTTTATTAAGCAGTCACCATAAAAATACTCTATGGTTTCAACAACTCCAATAACCCTAAAGAGCTCATACTAATTTCAAGTATCACGGCATAATATGATACGTTTCAGACTATACAGAGATGCAATTGCAGGCGGACAGGGCATTCCCGCGCAATACCGAGCAGTTTCAAGTACAAAGTAAACTTGAATGTATCATTGAGATCACTTCACTTCAAACATTAAAATCCAGGATTCAAGACTAGGGTCGAGCTGAATAGCTCCTCGATGTAGAGGCTGAAAAGCTAGGAAATAGAATCGCGGATTTTTATTTGAGAAGAGGTTGAATTCAAACTAAGACCTACCAAAGCACTTCGTGATTGAAGACACGATCATCGAAGTCAAAAATTGCATGCCAGCGGTTCCTCCAGGGAAGTAAGACAGTAGGTAATACAACAATGCAAGCACCTGGAACGCACAAGGAACAAAATGTCTATTATTGAAAGGATGAAGCAAATATCATCAACACATGTTCAAAGCACAAAATAATTCGTCGATACAGTTAGCTACAACAGAAACCAGGAAGTAAATTTATCAAAGTCTGAACATAAACAAACCACCAGCTACATAAAATCGCACATCATAAGTTCATAAAGCGGAAAGATGAATGCTGAAGAAACAAACCTGAATAACAGCAAAGAACACAGACAGTATGTAGCTGTGGAGGACCATAGACACATATATTGTAGCTGCCATGCTTCCAATAAATCCTGCTGTAAACGGCAATCTCTGCATTCTCACAAAATTTACTTGTCACAATATGCTGACAAAGTCAACTTTGTAATCATTACAAAGTCAGGTTGTCAATAACGTGAAACGGGCATTCCCAGGTAGAAATCCACTCAGAGCACATCATGACATGATTGTGCACACTAACGCATTGTGTCTCAAGAATAAACAATTCACGGGCATACTTTACACCAATTGAACACAACTCTTACAAATAATTCATACAACTGTTTGCTGAGATTTGTGATGGTGAAACGAAGGAACAGACAATCAAGTTGGCAGATGAATCTTCACCTCTTTGGAAATCATATGAAAAAACTGGGCTTTCGGTCCTTTAAGCGCGAAGAAGGAACCGACTATAAAAATACAGCCGATAGTGAAAGCGATAGCAAACTTTTGGGGAACCAGGACAATGATGGGCAGGAACATGAAAAATGCCATAAATATAAAGAACACCCCCGCCGCTATCATTATGGCAAAAGCAGTCAACGCCTGCCTAGACGGCACAAATTGGGTAGCAGACTGCACATTTGCAGGCAGCTCACGCACTCCTTTCGTGACTCTGTGGCAGATTGAAACAAGAGTTCAGCATTTCAACAAAGATGGCGCATACGCTGCGATTGTTGCACTGAAAGAACAAACTCTCAATGACTGATCAACACCCGCCTCCAATGCCATATGCCTCATTGAAAGATCCAACTAACTCGTGCGATATTGCAACCAATTATTAGTAGCTCTGTTCAGAAAAAACTATTAAAGATTTATTCCCAGGCTATAATCACTCTCTCATCGACTAAGTTTCAGCACCTAAAGGTCTAGATGATCACACCGTGCTTTCCCTCAACCAAAACACGCCAAAAGGCTTTCGACACTTTAGTTTTCAAGAGCAGTATTTCAGAGATATGTTGTCAGCACTTGTTTTCTGCCCACGCATACGATCGACTAAATCAACCACGATTTTCAAGATAGCGTAGAACTTGGCATGACGAGAGGAATAACATGTTGGCATGACGAGAGGAACTACATGTTGGCATGACGAGAGGAACTACATGTTGGCATGACGAGAGGAACTACATGTTGGCATGTAGACCATATCGGCTGGTAATATTGAAAATGAAACAGAAAATGAAGGGCGATTTACACCCCCAGCTGATCTAAATTTCTACACATGCAGGAATCGATCTATCTTCCAAAACCAAAATAAACACAATAAAACGTATCCAGCTCGTGCAACCCCGCTGAATCCTGCATTACACAGACGAACCGCAAAGTTTTTTTTATAAAAAAAACAAAAACAGAAGGCGACACTCACGAATTAAAAGCACCCACGATGCTGGAATTGGCCGACTTAAGCAACGGCGCGAGGGTCTCCGATACCCCAGACTCCAGATCTCGCCCAGTGGCACCCTGGCCGGCAGGCTCCGGCTGCGACCGCGCGGCATACGAGTTCCAAGCAGACAAGACACCACCCGATTGCGCATTCATGGGCTCCGCGGAGCTCGCCGGCTCCCGGTTGAAAAGCTCCTGAACTTTCCCCTGCAGGTTGAGATCCTGGATCTTCCCCTGGATGTTCAGCTCCTGCACCTTCCCTTGCACCACCTGCATCTTCCCCTGGAGGGCACTCCTCCATCCTGCCAGCGTCGCCCCAATCTGGGGCGGAATCCCGTCGGTCGCCACTGTCGCTGCCTTGCTTCCAACCTCCCCCCAAACCCTAAATCCACAAACCCTCTACCAACTTTTCCTCCACCTCGCAACACGATCAAACAGTTGCAAATCCTAGCTCCTGCCTGCACACTCACTGTGCTCTCTGCGCTCTCGTAGTCGGGCAACGCTCGGGGAGCGAAGAATACTACAAGCAAGCAGGAAAAGACGTGACACCCAAGACCGCTTTCGCCATAGCCAGCGCGAGCTCACAGCCTCGACACCGACGACCCTCCGAAGGCTCCAGACGAGGTGCCGCTGCTGACTAGGTTTGGGGAACGGGTGGCAGCCAATCCCTGCGCTGCTTTTCCCTAGGCCACTTGGGCTGGAATGTCCCAACTTGGCCGATGTGGCACCAAAAGTTGGCCCTCGTTTCTTTTCCATATTTAGCCCTTTCTCCACTTAGAGTTATCCGCAATTTTTTTTTTTTTTTTTTTTAATTATCATTAATTATCTTGTTTCCCATTCTTTTTGCAACGTTATCGGTGTTGTGTGTGCGCTACCTTTTACTTTGAAGTGGATCTGAGATAGTTTGCCAACCTTGGATATAGGACATCTTTTGGATATAGTGTTGAAACATAGAAAGCATACTCCACACAAGTAAGTTAGGACCAGCAAGGTTGCACTTTAACAAATAGAGTGTGGTATGAGATAATTCTTCCTATGCCAACCCTTTCCTTATATACTAGTACCAAGGTACCAAGTGCTACAACCCATATGGGATATCTCCTAGGACCAACCCTCCCCTTGTACTCTAATGCACTATATACCAGCACCTAACCTTATGGGATATCCCTAATAACACTTATACTCTATTGACCATTAGAAACTACTTAAAGAGTTCTTTCCTTCAACACTCTCATTTTGCTATTGGTCAATTACCTATCAATCCTAATGCCTTACTCAACTTGTTGTGTCTTTCTCTAACTAAGGCTTTTGTCAATAAATGAGCCAACATGTCTTTGGTTTCACAATACATCATATCAATAACCCCCATTTCTATCTTCTCTCTTATGAAATGATGCTGAATATCAATGTGCTTGGTTCTTGCATGATGCTTTGGATTCTTTGCAAAAGCAAGACATCTTTGATTGTCACACCTCAATGGAGTAGCCTCCAATTGCACAAGTCCAATATCTTCCAATAACAACCTCAACCAAATTGCCTCCATTGCTCCATGACTTGCTACCATGTACTCCGCCTCCATTGTGGACCTTGCAATGGTTGGTTGTCTCTTGCAATTCCAAGATATGGCTCCCACTCCAACAAAGAATACATAGCCCGTTGTTGACTTTCTATCGTTTGCATCTCCAGCCCAATCCGCATCACAATATCCATATAATGCAATATTATCTCCTCCAAGACATAGTTTGAGGTTCAAAGAGCCTTTCAAGTACCTCATGATTCTCTTGATGGTTGTCCAATGCATAGGACCCGGTTTTTCCATGTATTGGCTTACAACACTTACCGCAAATACAAGATCCATCCTTGTACCTACCATTACATACATGAGTGAGCCTACTGCTGCCTTGTATGGTATGCCTTGCATTTGATGCTCAACTTCAGCATACTCCTCATCCGTGAGCTTCATCAACTTCAAGTTGGCCTCCAAAGGAGTTCCAATGGGCTTGCAATCTCCCATATTGAATCGTTTCAACACTTCTTTAATGTACTTGCTTTGGCTCAATGTGATGGTCTTTGATTCTCTACTTCTTGTGAATTCCACACCCAAACAATAATGGAGCTCTCCCAAATCACTCATCTCAAACTCTCCCTCCAATTTCTTCTTCAACCAATCCAATCTTACCATGGTGTTGCTTAAGATGATTAAATCATCTACATAGAGGATCACAACCAGTAAGAAGTCCTTGGCTTGCAATACATACAAAGAATGGTCAGCTTCACTCCTTACAAAACCTTCCTTTACAAAGAACGAGTCAATGCGTTGGTACCATGCTCTTGGTGATACAATGACTTCTTCAAGTTGCAAATAAGGTGGTGTTTGTCTTGTTCAATAAATCCTTGAGGTTACTCCATGTAGATGTCTTCTTCTAATTCTCCATTCAAGAATGCTGTCTTGACGTCCATTTGATGCATCTCAAGATCCATTGATGCTCCAATTGCTACTATGGTTCTAATGGTGGTGAACTTGGCCACGGGTACAAATGCCTCATTAAAGTCCACTCCAGCAACTTGTGAGTAGCCTTTGGCAACCAATCTTGCCTTGTACCTCACAATATTGCCCATAGCATCTCTCTTGGTTCTAAACACCCACTTACATCCAATTGCTGATCGATTTGGTGGAAGTAGAGTCAACTCCCATGTCTCATTGTCTATAAGAGATTTGTATTCTTCTTGCATGGCAATCTCCCACTTCATTGCATCACCACACTTCATTGTATCACACAAAGTCAATGGATCATCAAGAAGAACAACATTGGCATGGTCTTCACTTACTTGTGGAAAGATGTGGTTCTTCCACCATTCACCTTGTGGTCTTCTCTCACGTGTTGGATATCTTCTTTCATGCAAGGAGGATGAGCCTTCATGCACCTCTTGCTGCCTTGTATGGCTCATGGAGTTCTTTGTCTTACTCATTGGTTGGTATTCTTCATCTTCATTCTCTTCATTGTCCTTGTTGTATCTTGCTGGAATTGAAGTCTTCATAGTATTGGGCTCTTCTATCATGGCATCTTCCTCTCCTTCTTCACTTTGAGAATGCTCTTCTTCATCTTCTTGTTTGTTTGTTGGAATTGAAGATGTGTCCACAAACACACTACTACTCCTACTTGGACACATCTCCCACTTTTCACTACCACTCTTATGCTCTAAGAACTCTACATCACGACTTTTGATGATCTTTTTGGTATCTAAACACATGAGCCTATATGCCTTGGTGCCTTCACAATAACCAAGGAATACACATCTTATGCCCTTTGCATCAAGTTTGCCTCTCATACTATCTGCAACCTTGACATATGCAATGCACCCAAAAATCCTCATGTGGGATATGCAAGGTTTCTTACCAGTCCAAGCTTCTTGGGGAGTCATTCCTTCAAGTGCACTTGTGGGACACCTATTTCTTGTATACATGGCATTTACTACAGCTTCTGCCCAATATTCATACCCAAGTTTTTGAGCATGAATCATACTCCTTGCCATCTCTACAATAGTATGATTTGCTCTTTCAGCAACTCCATTTTGTTGTGGAGTGTAGGAAGTAGAGGTTTGTCTTGCAATGCCTTCATGCTTCAATAACTCATCAAAGTGTTTGGACAAATACTCACCTCCATTGTCCGATCGCAGCACCTTAATCTTGTGCTCACATTGCTTCTCCACAAGTGCTTTCCACTCCTTAAACTTGGCAAAACACTCACTCTTGGCCTTGATGATGTAAATCCATACCTTCCTTGAGAAGTCATCAATAAATGTGACAAAGTACCTTGCTCCACTCATAGATGGTGTCCTCATGGGTCCACAAACATCCGAATGCACAAGCTCCAGCAATTGACTTGCTCTTGTTGCAACTCCACTAGGAAATGGTGTCCTATGTTTTTTGCCTTGAATGCATCCCTCACAAGCAAGATTCATGGTAGAATGGCCAAGGTCTAAGCCACTTACCATGGATTGAAGCTCCTTCATGCTTTTGGCATTCAAATCCCCAAGTCTTTGATGCCAAATGCCCACCTTGTCTTCATTTGATGGAAATTCAGTAAAGGCAGCAACCTCCACTTCATTGATCCTCTTACAATTGATAATATAGAGATTGCCATCCCTAGTCCCTTTTGCTACTTCTTTGCCTTCCATGGTTCTCACAAAACATCCATTCATATTAAATTACACTTTGTACCCATGAGTTACAAGTTTACTCACCGAAAGGAGGTTCTTCTTCATCTTTGGCACATGCAACACATCCTTGAGAGTGATTCTCTTGCTTATGCCCTTCACCACCACCTCCACTACAATGGTGCCCAATCCAATGGCTTGTACCATACCATTATCACCTAACCAAACCTTGGTTGCTGGAATTTGTTGATAAGTGTTAAATGAACACTTGTATGGAGTCATGTGTTTGGTACATCCGGAATCCACAATCCATTTACTCATATCAAGCATGGAAGGAGTTTGTTTTGCCATGAATGCAAAGTCTTCACCTCGATCGTCATGAAAAGCATTGTTGGCATTCTTTCTTTCTCCTTTCTTTGCCTTGAAACAATTTCTAGCAAAATGGCATGGTTTTCCACAAATGTAACAAGTTTTAGGAGGATAACGTTGAAAAGGGGCACTTGCCTTACTTGGTCTTGTAAATAGTGCTGATTGCTCTCCAATAGACTCCTTTTGCTTTCTTTTGGTCACTTCATGGGCTAGTCTTGCCATGACATAGTCCAAAGTGAGGTCTTTCCTTGAAATGGACTCCAATGCCACAATGAGGGAGGAATAGGAGTCCGGAAGGCTTGAGAGCAATGTCATCACAACATCTTCTTCAAGTAAAGGCTTGTCAACAACAGCAAGTTGGTTTGCAAGTGCTTTTACCTTATTCACATGAGCCATGAGATCTTCACCTTCTTCCATCTTCACGGTGAAGAATTTTTGCCTTGACCATAGCACATTGGAGAGATTCCTACTTTCATAGACATTGCAAAGAGTCTTCCATGCATCTGCTGCCCCTTTGCAAGAAATGATATGAGCAAAGTTGCTTTCATCTAAATTAGTGGCAATTATGCCAAAAGCCTTCTTCTCTCGTCTTTTGAAGTCCTTTTGCTCCTTGATGCTTGCCTCTACCATAGGTGCAAGTTCCTCCTCATCTACTATCTCCCAAAGATCCAATGACGCCAAAAGTAGCTCCATTTTGGCCTTCCAGTGGTGAAAGTTGTCACCTCTAAACTTTTCAACAACTCTTAAGCTATCACCCTCAAAAGACGCCATCTCAAGCTACAAGT